CACAACTTCTAAAAGTTTTACCTTCTAGATTGTTTTACTATTACGATTAATAGACATATAACAAGTTAGTGCCTGAAATTGAAGGTATTGAATTTCTCAGGGTCCAATAATCAGACACTGACTGACTGAACATGCCATGGAAATACTTATAACCTCACTTAAAAACGTTCCAGCCGCCTTCTACAAATCACTGAAAAACGGCAATATGTAAAAAAAACAAATCCAATTAGGAGACATTTTTTGTAAATTCGTTTAAAAGACAAACAACTTTTTTCATAATAAAAAAAAAAATGCCCTATACACTAGGGCAATATAAACTCGGATTAGGTGAAATGTGAATTTATCTAAAGAATAAACTTCGCGCGCTACAGTTGTCGGAAAGAGATGTAGCATCAGAAGGTAATTAAAATATATCCATCTCTTTTACATCCATGAAAGAGAACCGTGTAATACTAATAGGTGACTGCCCTACATTTTACGTACAAGCTTCCAAGTCGGTATGATACCCTGGTGCTTATTACAAATTATGTAACGTCTCCTAAATGCTCTCAAACTTTTGTAAGGCACTTATTTTATGTAATTCTCAGTCATTAAAAGAAACTTCTTGTTGAAATTAACAAAATACAAAATTATTATGTATGAATGAAACACAATAATCACAGTCGTCGTTGTTGACAAAATTATCTTTAGGTATTATGTTACATTGATTATTTGAATATATCCTTCGGATATTTATCAAACGTCAACAATTCCATTCATCATTATCCATATCAATTTCTAGTAAATGGGTACTTGACAAGGATATTGTAAAGAAAAATATTCAGTACCTCTTGGTTTTAAAATTTTCTGAGTTTTTCTTTAAACACATAGATTGAACCAAACATTGTACTAGGTAATCTAGTTAAGGTTCTATTCGCGGTTTTCAATGATTTTCTATGTACTTATTCACTTCCAGACCCTCCATTGCATCCAACCTGTATTAAAGTTTGCACCAAAGAAGAGTACAAGATGAAGAAAAGCGGCCAATCAGTCGTTATACCCAGAAAGCCTCACTACGCTCACGGAAAGCTTTTGTACGCCGTCAAAGTTGGTGAAACTTAACCTCTTTCAGTTTACTGCTATCCTAGTACTAATTAAGATTTGATATGCTGTAATCCTTATCCCCTAAGGTTGAAATTTCTTAGATTAATACAAATTCCGAGTAAATTTCAATCATACCTGCTTTTAAAGTATTTTGTAGGATTTTGTTATATTTTTAATTCGCAGTATGTCTTAGAAGATAATTCAAATATGTATGTATATACCTAAGGGGCGATTATTCTAATTGGGTTTGTGAATAAAAAATGAGTTTTAGAATATTTATTAATATTGGTTACAAAATCTTAGAACAACCAATTTCCTGCTATACATTATGTATATTATGTATTGTATAAGTATACTCGCACAACCTCCTCTGCATTTCTTCAACATTAGTATTATTGAATCGTGTCAACGTTTTGACTATGCTCCTCAACAGGCTGGCATCGTAGTAGGTTCTCTTTACTTCACTTATACCCAAGGAGTGTGGGGCGACCAACGACAGGTCACAGAATGCATTCGCCGTTGGCAGGAATACTTTCGCAGCATCAACACAAGGCGCCCACCAATTTTTGACAAGTGTGGAAACGTGATTGTGAGTACGACTCTATATTTATGCAGCATAAGATTGAAATTCAAATGAGCAATTCAATTTGTGTTGCTATTGTGAGATTTTAAACTACTCATCGCTCATGTGACCCTAGTACAAATAGTAACGTCACCAGTCGTTCGATCAACTTTACCGACAATCGTCATTCTTAGATACCTCCCTATCTATCGACACTACTGGAGACAAGACTTGAAATTTTAATCTTTTTCTTTACTAGCGATACACTTCCTTTACTAACTATAAATCTAATGTTAATTACATACCTAATGATTTTTTCAAAAACAATAATATTCTATCTCAAACTCTATAGTAAATATCTATATTCTATTCAATTATACATATATTCCGGTAAAAAATCGACCCAGTTGGCATTATGGTGGACCTATTAATTTTAGCCGTATCTACATTTTTACATACAAACATTAGACAGACATGATGTCTGTCTGTTGTGTAAGTAAAAAAAGGTGCCTAAAAAATAGCCACTTTTAAATATGATAAACTGGACTTCATTTTTTTATTAATTTGCATTCAGTGTACCTACAGTATTTAGTGTTGCATAGTATAGTCTCGTTCGTCTGCCGGGCATTATTAAAAATAGGTACTTGTTTACATTACAGTGAACATGTTGCACTGTGGTTTTACTGTGATGTGCAGATGTGCTATCTAAAAGCCTTAGAAAAAAAAATAGAGACTAAATTTTACACAACGTTTATACTCTTATAAGTTATGAAAGCCTAGTAATCGGGAGGCTACCTTGTGATCGGCGCGTGCCATTCGCGTTTACTTTCGCAAAACGTCTGTCCTCTATGAAAGCCGTTCGCGCATTGGCATCACTACATAGACGTAGTCGGGCCCAATATACGCCCAACATTGTAATTTTTGCAAATATTTCGGCGGTATTGTACAATGTTACTACCGCCACCTACACCACAGTAAAACAACCTCGCCCCTTTCACTTAAAATAACGAAATGGTTAAGGCAGTGAGATTGGTATGGTTTAGCTACACGACCAACCGCAAATGCTGCTATCCTAGTAGTTTGTGCTACGCTCAACAGACCAAAGTTAGTTTTTACTCTACCGTTAATTTACTTTGCCGCCATACATGTTGCCGCTACGCTTTACAAAATTCCATCTGACCTTTTCGAATGTTATGTTTGCCTAGTGCTTGCACGTCAGTTACATACGAGGGACGCCGTTCTTGGCATAGTCATGGTTCATTCATTCGCCCCCGCAATACTGGTCAATGAAAATGTGTATTCGCATTCTTGCGCTGAATCGTTCTGTGCAAAAAACATGTCTGCAGTGAGTGAATAATAAGTAGGTTACGTTAACAAATTCATCTAATAATAGGTAGGATAAAATATTGCTTCCACGTGCTAACTTCAGATATATTTACTAGCTATTTATTTTTTTATGAATGCATAGTTTATGAACAAAATTGACCAACACATCATGGAATTTAAAGGAAGTATATAATATTTAAATAATTAAGTCATTTCTAGATCCTGAAGGGGAAAGCCATCAATAAAGTTACGGATAACTCAATTCAATGGCATAATAATTTGATATAATTTATGCGAGTTGCCCTTCTTAGATCCTTGTAACCGTACACCGAAGGGCGCAGGGGTATGTGATGATCAATATCGCCTATAAAACCGGTAACGTAATACTGGGCGGAAGTAGCATCCTACGCGTTGATAACAGCCTGGTATAAATGGGGTCATATCATTACAATGTTACTTTACAAGGATGAAAAACTGTAACGCTGGGTTACGCTGAGCAAGGCTAACAGTATTAAATAAATTATTTTAATGTATTATCATGAGAGGATTCTATTTTTGTATGATAATAATGATACTAATTCAGTATCTATAGTGGCGTGCTAATTTTTTAATGGTCGGACTCAGTTTGTAATTATGACAGAATCAAGTTAAAGTGAATTTGTTGTACCATTTTCATTATCACACATGACACACAGATAGGAGAGCAACAGCACAAATTGGAAAATAAATACAAACAGTGTACATTGAGCAAAATGACCCAGTTTTGCTGGATGCTGATAAAATGATTTGTTTTCAGAAAAAGGATACTGTTGAAAGTTTACTGGGGCCCTTGTATTCAGCGTACAAAAGCGCCGTGACTACATGTTTCGCTGGTAAAATATATTTTTTATAACCTGCATTGCAACTTGATTTTCAGAGTTACATTTATTTTCTTAGATTATTTAGACATCACTGACGTACGGCGAAGGGAAACATCGTGGGGAAACCTGGACTTATAATTTTTAGTTATACATTTTAAATCGAAATCCGTCTTGAGCAAGCGTGGTGACATGTGCTTAGACATTCATCGTGAGAAGAGGTCTTTGCTCAGCAGTGGCACCTATAGGGTGATGATAGGGTATGATGATTATGATAGCAACTACATTATTTGATTTTATTTGTACCTATTGTCTGAATTTAATAACGAAACTAGTGCTAATACATTTAACTGTAGAATAATAAACTGTTTTGATTATACATAAGTTTCTTTAGCCCATAAATTATGATTTCTGAGGTACAAAAACAAACCAGTAATTTTTGTTATTTTCTGATCCACAGGTGTTGTCAAAGTACCTCTCATGATCAAATGCGCTTACTTTGATTACTTGAAAGCTTTAGAGCGGAAACACGAAGAACTGGTAAAGGAAAGAAAATTAAAGAAAAGATCATGACATAACAGGCTCGTAGATAAGAAAGTAGAATTGTTATGTAAAAATTTGACAAGTTAATTTGTAACACGCCTAGACATTACTGTAAGTGAAAGTAGCAAGTTAATTAATTCTTTTCCAACCGTCGAAGGTTGACAATTGCATAACATCTTATTTTTTAACCTTGGAAGTTTTTGTGAAATCGTCAGAACAATTTTTTCATATTTTTTTTTATAAAATCGCTATAAAAACATTGTATAAATTGAATAAGAACTCACCAAAAATGTTAATGTTGGTGTTGCCGTACTACGCTTATCGTAAGAGAAAAATTGGTTTCAAACCATAAGCAATAGACAATTTGAACTTACGATAAGCATCAAGAAACGTATTTAAAAATAAAAATTATTTATTGTATTGTTAAACTTTTTGTTAAAAAATATAATATAAAATAAATACGTTTTTGAAAGATTTATTGCACAATTTAATTACATATATCCTTACCTACTTATATTAGGTATGTCCAATTATTTATTTGTACTTATAGAAAAAGGTATTCCCACATAGGTTGTAACCTACTAAAAATGATACCAAAAGTTTGTTACTTAAAAACACAGGTTTAGTAACTAGTATCTTTGTTGCCTCCGTCTCATGTCGGAGGCTTGCAGCTCGAAGAACGCGGGATTGTCATCAGGGGATCCTCCAGACAACATGTACTCCAGGTGTCTGATGTAACAGATGGCTATCCTGAAATTATAATCATTGATATATTAATGTAACCATACCACGGTCTGTGAAAAAAACATTGCAATATTGTTTACGGTTTTTTTTCTGTGATTAGTCGGCAAACGAGCAGACGGATTACCTGAGAATAAGTAGTCAGCGCCGCCCATGGACATCCGCAACAACAGAGGAGTTACGAGTGCGTCGTCTATTAGGGATTAGGAGATTTTAGGATAGGGGAGGGATTAGGGGAAGAAAAAGAATTGCGGAAGAGGTTTAGGCCTCCGGTAACCTTACTTACATGGCGAAACCCAACGCTGCGGTTGATTCACCCTGCTTCGGCACAAATGGGAATCCAGATCCATAATCCCCAAAAGGTCGACAACGCACTCCTCTGTTGTTGCGGCTGTCCAAGGGCGGCGCTGATTGCTTACCATCAGGTAATCCGTCTAATTGTTTGACGACATAACACATAAAAAAACTGTTACTCATCTAGATTCGAATGCCGATATCAGGATATCTTTTCAGGTATCAGACGCCCTATTAACCGCCAACTACACAGTAAAAAAAAATACTGAAATAAATTGACAGGCTATGAATTGGGATGTACGTTGTACCGTATACATCTAAATACGAGTAGCGCCTGTTTCAATACTACATGCAATGCGCTGTCCTGAGCTATTGCTCATTGAAACCGCCAGCGATTTAACTGTGCTTATCCATGAGTACCGGGCAACCACAACACGTGTCATGTTGCATTGTGTTGTAGTTTATGCAAGGAAAAATATTAAGAAAAGTGTCTCACTAACTGTATTGTTTTTCAAAAGCATAATAATATATGTACATACTTAGTGCCTGATGGTAAGGTCAGACGGATCTGTTACTCAAGTACAACGACATCATTTTCAGGGATTCTTACTTCCCGGAAACGATCGCGTGATTAAATGACAGCCCATTTGGCCTCCGGAAATTTTACCGGTAGGTATCTACTTTATCAGAAATAATAATAATAAAAAACGCATGGTGACGTTATTAATTTATCTAAAATTAAATGATTTTAGAAATAGTTTGTAAAATACAAAATCAATATATTATCTATGTAATATTCCTGCATTTTGAAAATATTTACACACCATGGGTAGGTACTGAGATCTGAATCTTGCGAGCCATATTCCGTGAAAGGTACCTACGATCTAAAGCACTTAGTTGTAGGCAAAAAAGCACAAAGCGGTAAAACCAGAGGAGTCGCAAGTGAGCTTTTGGTGGCGAGGAATGAGACCTACACAATGCAAGCGTAATTTCACTTTAGTTTTTTAATAGGCCGTGAATGACTGCAGCCTGCTCATTCGTACTGAAACTTGGCCCTTTTCATGAAATATTTAGAAGATTTTTTATCAATCAACATTACCTTAGACATTCAATTTTGGAGTATTTTTTCTTGGACGGCTTAGTGACTGGCAACTTGGAACGCAGCAAATCGAACGCACGGTTCATATCCCTCATCCGCGTTCTCTCTCTGTCGCAGGCTGTCTTTTTATATTCTGCAATTTTAATAAGCATAGTAAAATAATTATAAATTGTTTAGTAATCCATGATGATTACGAGAATGTGAGGAATCAAGTACCTAAGTAAGAAGGTCATTAGGTATATTTTTGTTAACTGATAAATTGGGTAAGCCATTTCGCTGATGCTGATTGCCCCGAAAAGTGCTCTAGTGAAATGCACGGACTGGAAGACAGCATGGTCAGATCTCCTGCTGGGTGAACCGACGATATTTCAGAGTCAAGGTGAGTCATTAGACGTAAGGAGCTGTAAGCCTTTATAAAAGGAATGAAGACCAATAGACGGAGATGACATTCTTTAATAAATGTAACACCAAATTTTTATCAGCACCAGCTACCGTGTGACTTCATCTCGTCAGGGGCGGGCCTAGTTTCGAGCAGATTGGTGAACACTGCAAACAATCCTTGACTCGTTCGTCAAGTATGCCGAACATTGAAAAAGCAGTAATCCTACTTTGCTCGAGCGTCACTAGCGTTAGTTTCCACTGGTGATCAAAAGACCAAAAAATGGTAGCCCGTTTTTCGTTGACGCTAGCGTGGACCTCTCGTCCTTTCGTCCGATAAGGAATTAGCGTCACTATGTGCAAAATTTTAAATTTAATTGACATATAAATGATTGGACAGGAATTTACCTCTTGCTAGACTTGTGCTAACAAAACCTCCTTGAAACCTCATTGGAACACTTTGATTACGCTACAAAGTATTGCGACAGTCATGTGATAAGTTAAATTCTGTGATACAGTACAATTAGAAAGGAATTAGCTTAGACGTTCGCACCTTTTTGTGTTTGGACAAAGGAAAAGAATAACCTGTCTTATAACTCCTTGCCTCCTTAACTACCTCTAGACACAGAAATCACACTATAGTATCAAAAACATTAATTTGTGTCGTCGGAACAAGACAAAGAAAACTAAAAATTCCGCCACATCCATAAACTGCAATATAATATAAGGAATGCAGTTTTGCAAGTCGTAGGAGAAGGCTTAGGTTCAGCAGTGTCAGTAGACCTAGGTATAAGTGTGGGAGAGCCAAGCTTCGCCACAAATGGAGTGATACCACGGTCTGTTAGAAAACCGACGTGAAACAACCACAACGTTGTGTTTCGCCATGTGAGTGAGGTCACTGGAGGCCCAATCCTGTCCCCTCCATCATCCCTTTCCAATCCTTAAATAGCCAAAACGCTTATCCCCAAACGGCCGGCAACGCACTCGTAACTCCTCTGGTGTTGCGGAAGTCCATGGGCGTCAGCGATTGTTTCAGGTAATCCTTCAGCTCGTTTGGCAACCTATCTCATAAAAAAATTGGGGATTCTTGACATGTTGATGATAAGAAGGAATAGTAATGGTATATTCCTACCTTTCTCCAACTGCATAGCGCGTTCCTTCCAATTCAGAGCAGTGTCTTGTGTGGGATCATCTGTGCCATATTTTGAGGTATCTTGGGATTCGTGAGAGTAATCTAGAGAGGACTCAGAGTTCGCTATATCAACTACGTTGGCTTCCCTGTATTCTTGCTCATAGTATCTGGAACCTTGGTAATAAATTCAAACGTTATAAAACTTTGCTTCAAGGGACATTCACTTCACCACTTGATTTAAGAATTCTATGCTATACCCCAATGGCAAATTTGTTTTCCTAGAGGGGCGCCCATAGGATAGCTGTGGCCTACTACGGGTTGTGTTGTGTGCATAAAGCAAAAAATGAATAAATTAATAATTAAATCAAAAGTTGATAGAAATGATAATCATTAATTTAATTTCTGTTTCGTTTAACGGCCTCCTCAAACTGGAATGAAACAATGCTTGAGTTGTGTTTCGATTCGAGAAGTTTTCGAAGGCCCAATCGTTTTTCGCTTCCGCAAATCCCTAACAACCTACAACGCAAGACACTTTAACTCCTTTTGTGGTGTCTATGGGCGGCACCGATTGCTTACCATCGTCAGCTCGTTTGCCAACCAACAAATAAAACATAGACCATTGTATTGGCTTTAATAACAAACAAATATTCATCGATAAGGTTCACAAATAGTTACTTGAAGTTAAATCAATAGGATATTTGGGTATCTACATCAAAAATCAGATTTTATTCTAAAATGATAAATGGATTGATTATTATTATAAATTGACAGACCTGAGTATTCACTTGTAATCGAACAATAAGATATTGGCCTTTTTTAAATTAGTCGATTGGTTTTCACCCTTAATGTAACATCTATAAGAATGCTCATTACAATGAATGCTTATGAATGCCTTAGTGTATTAGTACCTTATTAACGATAAACTAAGCAATTTACTTGTCAGTCTGGTAGACTATCGAACTTTAAGTTTTTTATATCTTAACGTTACATTATTTTATCAATCGAATTGAAGTATGACGTGGCACCTTACCTTCAGTAGCACTGTGATCCAATTCATGGGGTCTGAAGTAAGAAATCCTTCTCGGCTCATAATCCTCTAGTACATAAGATCTGTGATGTGAAATAGTTTTATCATACTTTTTATGTGAAAATGTGTGTTCTTCTTTAGGCTTATCATCCTGCCGTCCTATTTCTAGTATAACACGATCTTCTGTCTCTCTCTTTTCTTCATCATCTTCCTTAACGACTGTGTAATTTGCAATTAAAGGTAGTGGAGCGTCATCTTCGTATGTCTGACTGTACATTGCGTCTTGTGGTCTAGAATGCTGTCTTCAATTACACAGGTAGTCGCCAATGTATTGTTAATTTGCTGACGTGTCAATTTAGCGCACTTGGTTCAAAATTTATTTTAGGTTTGTTTCATTGATCTATTTATTTATCGGTTCGGAGTTTTAGTACTAACATCAGAAACATTACAACCTGCTATTAACTTTGAGGGTCACAGTTTTAGAAACATATTTTATACACTTGTACTATTTTGTTGGTGATAGAGAACCGTTCTCTACCTGTTTCAAGTATGGACTGTGTCATCCACATTTGTGTCCTTTTGTGATGCATATTCGATCAAAATGGTGCTGTATGTACACAAGTGTTGCGGTACAATTTTTAGTTTTCACCGAAGAGGGCCACCCCATTGTCTTTGAGTCTTTTGTTAGCTATTTGTTTTGTAGCGAACCTCCGAGACAGTCGTACTCCTGAGTCGATTAAATACCTTCTATTTTTATGGAAATGTAGGTGATGCATAGCATTCAAAATGTATCAAATTGACAAAAATCTTAGGTATGTCTGCAGAGCGAGTGTTCTTGTCATTAAGCGTCAATTGAATTTCAAACATTTTTATTTCTTTAACAAACCTTTTTTCATAGATTGGTTTCATAGGTATTGGTTCGTTAATTAAAATTCGATGATAACAGTAATGTGCCTAAATATTCTGTTAGATAATCGAGTCGCCGGTCTCCGTCCGGATCAGCAATGGTTCCCGGTCTAATACGTTTTCAGGTCATGGTTACTACTAAAATTATTTCCAATTATCTAAAAGTAGACCAATGATGTTTGCCTAGATCAGAACAAAAAAAAAATTAGCAACTCTACAGTTAATAACAATAATAGACGAAGCCATTATTATTAACTAAAAATTTTTCTTTAGGGACAGCTTAACCTTCAACGTAATTAAGTATTGAATTTGTAGCTATTTACTTTTCTCTCTTTTAATTAATATAGGAAAACAAATAAAGCTCAAATATTACTAAGAATTATCAACTATAAACCAACCTTAATTCAAATCGAATCAAGTCGACGTAATCTTTATATATTCGGTGTCAAAAACGATCCATCAATGATTTTGATTTTACATACATTAATGTTTGCCCTAACGACTAAAATGGTATTAAAATAAACCATATACTCTATATTTGCTTCATTTTATAATTTAAAACAGAGTAAACTAAGTAACATTTTACATATTTATTAGTTTGCTCATTCTGTGTTTCATATAGTGCGGGGGGCGTCATAGTATTATAATTATATAACAATCGATTCTATGCAATAATCGAGTTCAGAGTTTAAAATGGTTTTTGGCAAGCTGTCACTCTAATTCTGCAACTACACTTTGGTTTTGAGTACTAAGTGCCCATTGGCCACTTCCCTTCTGGCCTGCGTCCGCGCAAGAGCGCACAGTTGAACTTGACAAGTTAACATTATATTACAAAAAAAAATAAAAGTAATAATTGTTTGTCCTTTTCCAAAATTTCTGTTAAGTGTTGTTTACAGTTCCTGATATGATCACGTAATTATGGGTGCTCAGAGTTTCAGGTAGGTGCATATTTTCAGAGTTTATTTTTTACTGTGTGCATTGCGGTTTACATTTGCGAGTACTTACCTAATTATAATAAATAAATAAATGTTTATTCCTGCGCTGGATTTAAACTTTCGGGACCCATAGGCGGAGCGTGACGGGGCATTCAAGTCCTTAAGTGTAATATTCGTTTTTTTATTAATGGATGAACGTTTAGTTTATATGACGATAAATAATTAGATGTGTGCCTTCACTATAAATCTAAAGTTGCAATTCTTACAATGTATCTATGTAATAATAAGAAATATACAATATTAATAAAAGTTGATAATAAACAACATAAAAAAAATATTGATACTTATTTAATTAAAGTAAATAAAAAAATATTGCCTTGTTTGTTTTGTGGAGGGAAAATCATCAAATGGTTTCTCTCGCCCAGGAAATGGCGAGAAGGGAGTGTCAGAATCTTACTGACTAAAACCCCGTTTATTCTCCTGCTCCTGGCCGAGGCCACGGAACCTGTTTGGCCTAAGAAGTCTTTGCCTATAAAATTATGTAGTGAATCAACATTACTTAATATATATGAAGTAAATTGCTTAGCATATAGGTATGTATATAGCTTCTGCCAAAGGAGTCGGAATTCGAAAAAGTTAAAGCATACTTTGCCAAATTATACAAAAGACGGTAGATTGTAATTGGCCATAGTGTCTAGCATTTGTAGATTATGTGAAAGCCTTCGATTCAATCGAATCCTGGGCAGTGCTGCAGTCTCTTCAGATGTGCCATATCGATGTACTGAAGAGTTAATATTAAAACGCCAACTTGCGCACCGTGGACACGAAAGCAAACCAATTGTGAAAAGCTAGCAGACCATCTTAAAATCTGTTCACGAATGCATTGAATGACGTTTTGAGCTCTTGTACTGAAACGGACTCGGGTTCAATGACTGTTCTTTATTAATTTCTCTTTGCCGCCATGCTTCGGCACGAATGGGTCGGCTCGACCGGAGCGATACCACGACCTCATACAAAACCGGCGTGAAACAACCAGAGCGTTGTGTTTTGCCGTGTGAGTGAGGTTACTGGAGGCTCAATCCTTCCCCTTTCCCAATCCCTCCCCAGTCCCTAAATCTCCAAATCCCTAATCCCTAAAAGGTCTGCACCGTACTCTTAACTCGTCCGTTGCGGGTTTCCATGGGCGGTGCTGATTGCTTACCATGAGGTAATCCGTCTGCTCGTTTGCCGACCTATTACATAAAAAATATACAAAACAGTATGAATTTTGATAATGCCTTAGGCACTTTCTAACAGTCAACCGTAGTTTCGAGCAGAAAGATAAAGTGACTCAAGAAATTAAAGAGAAAAAGCAGGGAAATATTAATAGCCAATGGAAGTCAAGTCAAGAAAAGCCTACTCCACCTAATGTGGGAAGAGGCAAAGAATAAGCGGTGCAGCCACACCGGAGTAATATACCTTTACAGTAGGGTGCTAAAACATGAAACAAAAGAGTTCAAAAGACCAAAAGACAAAAGAGATCGACATACTAGTTATATCTATACTCTAATATTATAAAGAGGTAAAATTTGTAAATTAGTAAGTTTGTATGTAGGGGGTAATCTTTGGAACCGCTGGTCAGATTCACAAAGTTCTTTCACTGAGCTACAATGTTCCTGATTGCTATAGGCAATTAAACGATAAAATGGAGCCGAGCAGTGGGTCAAACCAGCCAGAATTTGTTTTTTTAATCTATTTTTCAAATTTTTTTCCCTTATTAGGTTGCGAAGATTAATCTTTGGAACCGCTGGTGTGATTTCCAAAATTCTTTTACTGATAGGTAGCTACAATGTTCCTGAGTGCTATACGCTAAAACATCACGCTACGATCAAATGGAGCTGAGCAGCGGGTGAAACCGCGCGAGAGTAGCTAGTATTTCATAAATTTTGTTTTTCTCGTCGTCGTCGTAGTCATCCTAATTTTGTTTTATTCAAATATTTTAATGTACCGACGCACTGTTTTATAAAATGAATAGATTTAAACTATACATACCTATTTTTAGTTAACGGAAATGGGTTGATAATGCTTACGATTTATCTATAGCTATAACTACCTACCTACCTATACATATCCTTTAGAAAATCCACTGTTTATGTAACCACTAGCTTTTGCCCGCGACTTTGTTCGCGTGGTATAGTGAGTTCCTGCGGATCTTTGGTTTAAAAACTATTCTATGTCCTTTCTCGAGTTCCAAACTATGTCTGTACCAAATTTCACATAAATAGGTTCAGTAATTTAGGCGTGAAGAAAACACAGACAGATAGAATTACTTTCGCATTTACAATATTCGTTTGGATAATAAGCTTGCTTGTTGGTTTCAGATCGCTGCTACTAGCAGCCATCGTATTAAGTAATTGTATAACATGGACGGCTTCGAGACACCATGTGAGTACACCCACATCTATCAAACTAGAAAGCAAACTAATAGACACAGTAACCCATGGACACACCGCAACACCAGAGGGGCAATTCTCTAAAATCCGCGTTGAGACGAAACACAGCGCAATTGTTTCACGCCAGTTTTCTATAAGGTCGTGATATAACTCTAATCGTACCGGGACAATTAAGAAGATAATATCGACGTGGCTGCCTGGAGGTTAAGGCGCCCAATCCTCATGCATGAAATAAGGGTGTAAGTTCGAAAGCTGGCAATTCGGTACTGTGACTTTTTCCGAGATCCAAGTACTTTCTATGATTATTTGGAATCCACGGTGAAGGAAAATATCGTGAGGAAACTTGGATTTATTATTTTAAGTTTGAAAGCACCAATCCGCCTTGGACATGCGTTGTGGTTAATGCTGAAACCTTCTCTGAGTTAGAAGAGGCCTTTGCTCAGCAGTGGACACTTATAGGTTAATGATGATGTGTGACAATTAGATTGGTTAGGACACAAGTACCTCATTCTAATCAGTGCTGTAAGCTGTAACCAGACAAAGGGCTTCAAATCTCCATAAATAATATCTAAATAGTCAAACATTAGGTATAGCATTAGGTTCTTCAGCGTATTTGTGAATGTTTTCTGTAGATGTCTTAAGGAATCCATATTACTTACATAATTTGGAATGTGTTGTCGGATAAATACATCCGGTTTGCGTGCTACTACTCTATGAATCTTGAATATATTTACATCATCACCAATCCAATTGCGTCCACGGCTGGATTTAAACATCAACAGAGACAAAAGCTCAAACATAATACACACATGCACAAAACTATCGGATGGTTACGCTAAAATACTTATTCATATTTATTGTCTTCACGTCATCGCCAAACTAAGACTTGTATGAATTATTACAGTTCAGGCATATTGCCTGGCGAGGGGCCACCTTCTGGAAGGCTAGGAAGGCAATAAAAAAACTTTCTCTATACAAATACCTACTTCTCCAGGTGCACCAACATCAAGCCAGGCACAAGCGGCAAGACCCCAGCCCATATCTACCTGTATCCTACATCATACCAGGAGGGGAAGGGTCAGGGCCCTGGGGCGAGTGGGGAGAAGTCTCCTCTTGCTCTAGGACCTGCGGAGGAGGCGTAGCCAGTCAGAAGAGAATATGTCTCGAGCCAGAGTAAGATAAAACTGTTTACTTAATAATTTCAGATCAATTTTTTTACCGATCCAAGATTTACGTCAACGTAACAGGATTCCTCGTACACTTTGGGCGTAGTTGGCTTTCTCTATTTTTGGGCCAAACTTACTTATTGCAAGAAATTATCACAGCATATTAAACCTAGTGCTATTAATTGAAACTGTTTAATTGTATCGAATTACTAATCATTCAAATTTCGAGAGAGTATCCTTAATAGTATCACCTACGCAGTGGACGACATTAGGTACTATTAAATTGACCTTCATTCACCATCTTCTCTGCTCGAAAAGATCACAGAAGTCGTGTACTGGCGGCGACACGAAGTACTTCTCATGCCAGACGCAGGACTGTCCCGCCGGCTCGGGTGACTTCAGAGCCGAGCAGTGTGCGGAGTTCGACGACAAGGAGTTCCATGGCAACAAGTACAAGTAAGTTATTCTATGTCCTACTTCACTGTGGCCCTGCAGACTTTTCATATGAATTAACATTAATAACACAAAAAAATCTAATAGTTGGGTGCCGTACACAAGGACCCAGAACCCTTGCGAGCTAGCTTGTAAGCCGCGCGACGAGCGGTTTTACTTCCGACACAAGCCTCAAGTGGTGGACGGCACGAGGTGTAATGACGATTCCTTCGACGTGTGCGTCAACGGAGTCTGCAAGGTAACGCTCACAACATGACTATAGCTGTTCACTATCCACTCCACGTATTGAGGAGACTGTATTACCGTACCGCCATACTTCCAGCACGTGGGCTGTGACATGATGCTGGGCTCCAGTGCGAGGGAGGATAAGTGTAGGGTGTGCAGAGGGAACGGCACCAACTGTTTCACCATGGAGGGATTTATTAACTCTCAGGATCTCTTTCAAGGTAAACAAACCACCTTAACAAGTTACAAATGGATTTAAAACCAAAAATAAACAATTCAAACTTAACGTTACGATACAAAAGCCTCGAGTGGCGTGGTCCAATGGAATTTATGCCTCCCGCATCAAAAGTGTCGTCAAAATAATATAAGTAATACAAGCAAACCTTGACAATTTGAAATTTTGACAAGTAAATCAAGGTTATCCAAACCCTTGGTTTATTTTTTCTTGGATTGGGTAATTCCTTTGCATATATTTCTTATGGAAAGACCACACCGGTCTTAACGATTTCATCAACAAATTCGTTTTCATAACGCTAAAGTAATACTGCTCTAAAACGACCCAAACAACGATTTTTTTATTATAAACTAGCTCTTACCCGCGGCGTCGCTCCCGTCATTTGACTACCTACCCTTCTCTACCTATCCTACTTTACCTACCCTACTCTACCTACCCTACTCTACCTACCGTACTCTACTTATCCTACATACCTACTCTATCCTACCCTATGCCCTTCTCTTGGCCAAACTACCTCCCTTCCTATTTTCAGCTAAATCGGTTCAGCCGTTCTTGAGTTATGAGTGGAGTAACTAACACGACTTTCTTTTATATACCTATATATAGATATAATTTCGCATGAACTTATGATTATGAATATAACGTGTGTATCATTTCAATTTTAGGGTACAACAATCTCTTATTCATTCCTGAAGGCTCCATGAATATTATTATCGAGGAAGTGGAACCTTCAAGCAATTATTTAGGTAAGTGCTTTACACACCATGGAATCGATCGTAAGTACAAGCAATATGGCTGAAGTAACTATTTATTAATCTTTTTTTTAAAGCATAAATCTGCAAACTAGCAGACCTGGTGATAAGCAATCGGCGCCACCCATGGACACCCGCAAGTCCGAAGGATTTACAAGTGCATTGCCGGCCTTTTTGGGATGAGGGTTGCGGATATTTAAGGATTGGGTAGGCAGAGGGGAGGGGGGGGATTGGGCCTTCAGTAACTTCATTCACACCGCGAAACACAACGCTGTGGTTGTTTCCAGCCGGTTTTCTGTGAGGTCGTGGTATCACTCCGGTTGAGCCGACCCATTCGTGCCAAAGCTTTGCTCTCCCACACTTTTAATCTGTGGTACTAAATTATTACTTAATAAGCCGGGGTTGCAGCCATGTCAGGTTGTAGCTATAATAAACATTGGGCTCAACTAGTTCAAGCCACAATAGGACCGAAGTTGAAAAGGTAATAGTCAGCAAGAGTTTGATTCTTCCCCACGCGTACCACATCATCCAGGATGGTAAAACATATTTGATAAGTTTCCATCCTTTCCAAAAAGAACAGGATCATTCTATTTCCCAATCATTACGCAATTAATAGCTTGTAGTTCTCCCCTTAGGCTTATGTAGATGCTTCTAGACATTCATAAAATATGCGTTTTTTGTTCACAGCATTAAGAGACAAAAACGGCTCGTACTACCTAAACGGCGGCTACAACATGAACTTCCCGGGCAAAATCATCGTCCCTGGTGGCTTCTGCTCTTATAATCGGATAGAACAAGATTTCCTCTCATTAGACACCCTCCATTGCTTGGGACCCACAACAAAACCACTATATCTCTATGTAAGAGTTATTTGTTTAAATTGAGTTGATAATTAATAAAAAATGTTACAGATTAAACACAAAACTTTGACGATACTGACCTAAGTCTTGATATTTATAAAAAAAAATTGTTGCGGACCGACTTGAAATCAGAGACATCGGAAATTGAGACATGCGACCTTTTGCATTTAGGATTAAAAAAATTAAGAACAATCAAATAGCTTTTTGTAGTAATGTATTATATAGACAGAAATAATACTTCGCTAGTAAATATACACATGTTCTATAACTAAAATGTTATCAATATCCTTGGACTTTTTTAGTTTACTAACAAGTTTTATTTGATAGTACCTACTGCCAAAAAACCTTCAAGAAAAAGAAACATATTTTGAGGTCAGAATTTATTCATGAAAGAAACCTAAGCTTAACTGTAAGACTATTTTAAAATGTCCAACAAAATGTTGACCTGGCAGTGAGTGCTATTCTGTAAATGGTTAATCTCATCTTGTAAGTCACACACCACTTCGCTTCTCATCTCACTTGTAGACAAACGTCAAAATACTTACTTATTTTAGTTCCTTTCACTTCGTTTTTCACATGGTGGCGCCAATGTTTGTTTCACTCCATTTGAGAGTACAAAACTTTAAATTAACATGATTTCACCGAGGATTCAGAAGTGATTTCGCAAATTTACTTTTGGGAATAGCATAGCTGGAGCCTCGTCGTTTTATTTCACCAAATTTTGTAATTTTCGTGCTACAGCTTCTTCTTCAAGACGAAAACGTGGGAATCAAATACGAATTCAGCTTTGCCGTAGAAAATAACAATCCCAGCGAAAAGCAGTACAACTGGGTGTATGAAGAGTATACGCCGTGCAGCGCCACCTGCGGTGGAGGTACGCCGCGAGTACGACGACCTAACTTTGCATTAGCAACTAATATCTTACCTAATCCTGCTCCTAGTGCCTAATACAAACTAGCGCTTATAACAAATTTTAATTATGGAGTAAGAGTTTGCTTAGTTACCATTCATTCTTTGACTTTGCACGATATTTTAAACCAATGGAAGTATCTCGTCGTCAACACTATTTCAATCTGTTAGAAAAGAAAAAACCGCGGTTTGAGGCATAATTGGCGGTGATGAATATTTGAGGCATCATACACTAAATTAACGGTAAATAATATCACTTAGAAAATGAGCTCTAATCCACCTCTGTAATCGCATCCCAGGTTTCCAAACTCGCAACGTGACATGCAGATTTAGGGAAGAGCTGGAGGTAGTTGACAACAATTTATGTGACGAGGGTCTGAAACCCCCCACGAACCAGTCCTGTAATCAAGATCCCTGCCCCGCGCAGTGGGTGGCAGGACCTTGGGGAGACTGCTCCAAGAGGTGTGGCAGCGGAGGAGTCAGGTCTCGGGAGGTCACGTGCCAGAAAGTCATAGCTAATGGGTAAGAGGATATTCGATCCAAGGATTTTCAATGTATTAGCAGTTTCGCTTGAGACCCTTAAGACCAGAGGAATACATGCAACCGATTCAATGTCGTCTGCCATATTACTACGCGAAAGTAACATTTTCCTACAAATTCAAATAAAATAAAAAATATTTTCTATCTAGCATCGCATCTATAGTTCCGGAGAAGGAGTGCTTCGAGTTACTGGGCCCGAAACCTGAGTTATTCCAAAAGTGTAACGAAGATGCTGCCTGTCCCGACTGGTTCGTTGGACACTGGAAACCGGTAAGTTAGAAACAGGATAATAAAGAAATAATTATCTAATTATTTTAGCAAGTATCGGTACTAACCATGGTGAATCTTCTCCCTCAGTGTGACAAACTCTGTGACGAGGGCAAGCAGACGAGACAGGTGGTGTGTCGCCAGAAGATCAATGGCCGCGTCACAGTGCTAGCTGACGGGAACTGTACAGACGAGAAGCCAGCGGTTGAGCAGAAGTGTATGATACAACCCTGCGATGGTGTGGACTGGGTCACTTCTGACTGGTCAGAAGTAAGTTCATACGATTTTCATATTTTTGAAACGTTACTCCGCACTAAGATTTTCTCGCACACTTAGACGCTGCAAGGCAGCCGTGGCCCAGCCACCGCGTAACTGTACAATCAACTGATTTTTACGTGAGAACTCTGCGGACTGATAAACAATGTTAAGCTTAATCATCAACCTACCTCCATTAAAGGGATGCTCTATAACTCTGTAATAAGTCAAATTTTGTACTAAAAATGCTGTAGTGTTTTCTGGTCTGGTCTATGGCTCTTAAAGAGCAAGTGCTGTAGGAGACGCTCGAGTCTGGTTTTAGTCAGGTAGCGAGCGTATTGTGGCCGAAGACTGTCTCGCGATTGCTCAAGTTAGGAAGTGAAAGGATCGCTCCCTCCTCTTTAGCTATGATTCGTGGAAGAAGGACCGATGACCGATATTACGAGCTGGAGTGATAAACATAATAATTGACATTTAAATTAACATTCTGTTTCAGTGTGACACCTGCACCTCAAACTCACGAACGCGAAAGGTGTTATGTTTGACGAAACACCATATAAGAATAAATGATAGCTTCTGTAGCCATCACCGACGACCAGTGGAGCAGGAAGAATGTGTCGGGAACCTCGCGCAGTCTAAGGCGCAGTGGCATGCTACGGAGTGGAGCAAGGTATCTAAATAATGTGTACTGACATATTTCGGAGCTGAAAAAATACTATAACCATTAAATGTCATGTTTTTTTCAACAGTGTTCTGTTGCAAGCGGCGATAGAGTTCAGACTAGAAAGGTATTTTGTGGCGTTTACAAGAACGAGAGCCTGGAACAGGTGGAGGACTCAAATTGTACACACCTTCTAAAGTGTAACGTCGCCAAATCTTGCTCTGAGTCTGAAGAAGAGTATCCCTCACAGTGGTTCACTGGACCCTGGTCTTTAGTAAGTCCTCATTATCTGTCTCTGTTACTTCCACGTAATTATTTACGTGGTATAGGTGTAACAAACCCTCCTTTGTCATAACAACTTTCAGTGCAGCGAATATTGTGGTGGAGGGGAGCAGTATAGACGTGTCACCTGTATGCGAGGGTGGAAGGAAGACTTCAACTGCCCTTTGTCCAATGTACCAGATTCTACACAGTTATGCAACACCCAACCTTGTCTCCCAGGTATAAATATCAGTTAACATAATATTTGTTCTTATCCACACAATATCGGACCTTCTTTCTTTTAAAGAACTTATAAAAATAAATGAAATATTTGAATTTAGTTACTCGTCGTTTATATAGATATATAGATTAAATAGAGGCCCTAATATTCCTTGTGGAACGCCAAAATCATTTTTCATTATTTTTGCAAATTTTAATTTCTGTACGTTGTATTCTGTTGGTAAGGTAAGATTTTATAAGAGGGTTTTACTCAGAACATAACAGATTTCTCAATCATCAACTGTTTATTCTATGCAAGAAGGTGGTTTTTCAGAAAACCGCTAAACGACAACATTTTTGTTAAGCCGCACATCCTGATATAAAAAGCTCGAGTATACTCGTATAGACCATACATCGTTCTTAAGTCAATCTTCCAAAGTGTTAAATTAATGAGCTTCCCCCAGTTGTTCAGGTTTTGTATAAAAACGGCTTAAGTTATTCTATTTCTTGTTTTAAATTCACCGAGGAAAGCTGACGATATTTTAGCTTTCTTCTCCACAAATAATATCCGCAAATTTATCGTAATCGCTAATTAATTAATCATCTTTGGGTATAATATTAAATACAAAGTCAATAGAACAATATTATTTGAAGAAGCAGGTGATTCGAATATGTTCGAATCAGATTATTATGAGTTTAAAAAAGGCTCAGAGAATAATATCAATTTGTAAAAATATTGGTGCTAAGTACCCTGATATACTGGTACTGTTTCCAGAAATCATCGAAATACAGGATTCAAGCAGCCCTGGTGAAAAGAAGCTACAATGTAAAGACAGTAAGTTCGGCTGCTGTCCTGATAACAAAACGGCTGCTGTGGGTCCATTTGATGAAGGTTTGTTCAGTTGTATTAATAACTAGTTGAGCCCGCGACTTTGTTCGCGTGGTTGTCACATTATCGCAATTATCATTCGATTTCCGGCAACTTCAACTACGGATTATAATAAAAGAATATATTTTAAAGTACTTCTGCGTTTTTTTTATGTGATAGGTCGGCAAACGAGCAGACGGATTACCTGATGGTAAGCAATCAACGCCGCCCAAAGACATCCGCAACGCAGGAGTTACGAGTGCGTTGCCGACCTTTTAGGGATTAGAGATTTGGAGATTTAAGGATTGAGGAGGGATTGGGGGAGGGGAAGGATTGGGCCTCCGGTAACCTCACTTACACGGGGAAACACAACGCTGTGGTTGTTTCACGCTGGTTTTCTGTGAGGCCGTGGTATCACTCCGGTCGAGCCGACCCATTCGTGCCGAAGTATGGCTCTCCCACACTTAGCATGGCTCTCCCACACTTGAATTTTATTTTAAGTTTTATTTTCTCCGAAACCCGATCTTGACAACGCGACACACCTAGCCAGTCGTGTGAAAGCCAGTCTTGTTGTAAATCGATTCCTACGTTTTTAATTGTTTGCTTTCGTGATGGATGTTAATTTTTTATATTGTATATTTTTGTTTTTTCTTATGTAATAGGTCGTCAAACGAGCAGACGGATTACCTGATGGTAAGCAATCAGCGCCGCCCATGTACACTTGCAACGGAGGAGTTACAAGTACGTTGCCGACCTTTAAGGGATTAGGGATTTGGGAATTGGGGAAGGGGAAGGATTAGGCCTCCGGTAACCTCACTCACACGGCGAAGTTCCTGAAGTACATGTCTTATGACAATTAAATACATTCTTCACTCTTTCTTTCTTCCTAAGTTTCATTGTACAACAACAACAGCTGAACCAGTTACTAATATTGCAACCATCACGTTATTGCGAAGAAATTTGGATTGAATTCGGGTAAACCGTAACATAAATTAGGGTATTTAGGATTTCAAAGTAAAATTATTGGGTCACCTATTTTAAGCTTGAGGGAATGCGGAGAAGGACTCTCGTATTTTAGAAACCGCGTGAAATGGACTAACTATATCTCCTGGAAGTTTACTCAAAATTAGGTTGTTTATTTTGTCAAGACTACTGTTTTTCACACACTGGTAATCTTTACTTTCTATTTCGACGATATGAGGCACCAAACACCGCCGCCCCCACGTCTCTCTCGGGTCCCGAGCTATGTTCCGACAATGGGGTTGAGGTGTACAATTGTCCATAGAATCTGTGGAGCTTTCCCAGAATCTTCGATTTCGACCCAATGATGCTACCATTTTTTGGGTCATCAGCCTCGTTATTTGACTTTTCTCAATAAACGATTTTTTTTTCTCTTGAAAACTTTTGAACCCTGGTTTCGCTCGCTCCTTGACTCATGCAGTAATACGCACGGAGGTGGCATGGATTTCGAAATTCGCCTATTGGGGTTACCGTCAGAAATGTCGGCTGAAGCCTGTGTTTTAGGAGTTTCAATGTTCCGTTCGATAGCTTGTAAGGTTTGTTTCGGTTTGGAGTCTTAAATAATTCCGACCCCACTGCTCAGACAGCTTCCACCAATCTCCACTCAAGTCAGCCAATAAAGGCAAGAATGAGGTAAATCAGCTTGTTCCTCGTCATTGTTTCCTCAAGCTAGTGGCGAAATCTAACCGGAGATGAAGAACACGACACCTACTGGGAGACAGGTCTGTTGGTTCGCCACTGCCCAACCGCTTACCACAAGCTGCCTAGCGGTTTACAATTTGCAAAATATTTATAAGTTAAAGGCACGGAGTAAGAAAGGTGTTGTCTGAACAGTAACAAATGAGTCATATCCTTTCTAATTTTTAGGTTGTCGAATCCCACGTGAATGCAGTTATTCCATCTTTGGTTGCTGTCCTGACGGTGTGTCCCCCAAGCTGAACGAGACTGATGAAGGATGTCCCGTGGAGCCCTGCGCAGACACGCTGTTCGGCTGCTGCCTCTCTGACAACAAGACTGCGGCTCAGGGCAACGACCAAGACAACTGCCCACCACTGTCACCGTCCTGCTTATCATCTTTGTAAGTGTTATGAACTGAAATGTCGATAAATACTCCATAGTTTGGTTAGTTTCAGTGAGAATAGTAAGTTTAAAGAATCAGGGGACAAACGGCCAGACGAATACCACCACCCCCAAGTGAAATATTAAACTCTCTTTGGTTTTCTTTCGATAATCTGGATAAAATCCAATTTCGCCTCGCTGCTTTCAGCCGCATGTTGATGAAAGAAGAAATCTTACTTTGCTGGATTCTAATATGAGACTAGTTGTTGATATATGACTATGATACTTGTTACTTTTGTTTTTTTTTATATGTAACGAAACACAAATTAGTACCCATTCCTGAAATTTTATGAATATCACCAGATTTGGCTCCTGCACTAACAATGAACCTGAAGTCACTGGAGTAAAAAAAATGGATTACCTTGAAAATAGTAAGTTTTACAATTATTGCTTGATGATTATTCATACTTCCACATCATTTAGCATTTGATCGTTCCAGTAACTACTACCACTGAAGGCTCTGGGACCCTTGAAACTAGTGAAGGAAGCACCAACGGAACAGTCACCACGGAGGTCGATAGCACCACCCTGGACAGTAGCAATTACAACAGAACTGAAGCCAAAAGACCTAAAGGTCAGGAATGTCAATATAATTTTTTTTCAATTTGTTATTACTTTTTCGAAAAAGCAAGTTTAAAATAATCTAACCGACTATTACAAATTTTCGAAAAATTTACATTTTACAAATATTCATACTTTGTCTAATAAATGGAGCAAGCAGACTATCGTAGCATCGTAACCGTAATAACCGGCTCACAGAGTATTTATGTTTTTAAGTCATTCTTTTCGGCATCTCACCTTGGACCTTTAACTTATCCGCCTTAAATAAGTGTTTGAGTCCTCCTGGCTCCATGCCATGCCATCTCTTTTCCTCTGATTTCGTCTTTCACACCGCCAAACTTATCTATCAACCTCCCAAAGGTAGATGCTCTAGTACCTGGATACTTCCAGATCCTGTAAGGACGCCAGCCAGGATTGTCGGAGGCGAGAATGTCTTAGTGATTGGAGAGCTAGGTAGCCCGCTTTCAGTGCTATGCCTGACGTATGGGAACCCGCAACCATATGTATTATGGTATAAGGGCTATGACATATCAAATGCACTATACAATGATGATGTGTACGAAGCAAGAGACAATGTTCTTCTGATCAGAAGTCTGGCTATGGATACTCTCGGACAGTACACATGCCAAGCCTACAACGGACAAGGAAAAGCAGCGATATGGACCGTAAATGTACGGGCATATAAACCTAAAGGCCTGTTCATTAACAATGACATGTTAGTACCGCGCGATACGATGTCATCCACGCCCAAGGTACAGGCTCCAAACCCTACGGAATCTCCTGAAGTACACACACTTGTGTTAACCAGTAAGTAAACCATAGATAGGTACTCGGTCTAACACTTATCTAACTTTTAACTTAATATTATAAATGCGAAAGTTACTATGTTTGGATGTTTATTACTCAATCACGCCAAAACTGCTGCACGGATTTGGGTGAAATTTGGCACAGGTATAGGATACACTCCGCAATAGGACACTGGCTACTTTTTCTCAACACACAACGCGGGCGAAGCCTCGGGCGGAAGCTAGTAATGTAATATCTCCCCTTCGAAGGAAAATGTCAGACGACTCACCACTACTGGTTGACCCCATCTGTAGTGGTCTGGTGGCTATTTAAGACGCACATGGAGCCATAGATAAAACGCTTATAATGTGACTAAATGGTTCCTTTCCAACAACCAACCCCAATAGTTCCTTCATAAGTGACCGCTTAAAATTTGCATTTAATGTCAGCGGAGGAGGTCGACAGTGACGGTAGCCCCTGCAGCACGTCACCGCACGGTTGCTGCGAGGATAATAAGACTGCCGCCGATGGGCCCAACTACGAAGGATGCTGCTTGCTGCAAACCTTTGGATGCTGCCCAGATAACCGCAAGCCTGCCGAAGGACCACATCTTGAAGGTAAAATCTTAAAATTTATATAAAAAATAAATCATCAAAAATATAAGAAGTATTTACGTAGTTCTCACTCTCCCTTGTTGTTCTTAGGATGTGGGTGTCAATACTCGCTTCACGGATGCTGCCCTGACAACGTTACCATCGCTCAGGGAGCCGACAACCAGGGCTGTGGCTGCCAGTATACGCAGCACGGCTGCTGTCCGGACAGGTACACCATTTGCTCTATATAAGTACTAGTTACTTATACTAATACGCCGACTGCCGTCTGTACTAGTCTCCAGTTATTGTTGCTAATAAATTAAAATTGGTTGGCCAGACATACGGCTGCCTCTGGCCCTGACAACGAAGGCTGTGGCTGCAGCACGTTCCAATTCGGTTGCTGCCCTGACGGCGTCACCATCGCCAAGGGACCTGAACAGCAAGGCTGCCACTGCCAGTACTCCTTGTACGGCTGCTGCGGAGACGGCGAGACCCCGGCGACTGGCCCTGACTCTGCAGGCTGCGACTGCTCCACCAGTAAATACGGCTGCTGCCCTGATGGAACTACTTTGGCAGCTGGTCCTAAGTTCCTTGGGTGCACTGATGTACCTGAGAATAAACAAGGTAACACTAGGAAAAAAACTGACAGCCTATAAATAATAAAATCATGGGTTTTGTAGTATTTTATATAATGTGAACCTTCCATTATACCAGCTGCCTGCAGCCTGCCGACAGACCCAGGCTCGTGTCATAACTTTACGGCGATGTGGTACTTCGACATGACGTACGGAGGCTGTTCCCGATTCTGGTACGGAGGCTGTGAGGGTAACGGTAACCGCTTCGCAACGAAGGAGGACTGTACGAACGTGTGTGTAGAGCCCTCACCTAAAGGTAACGACTTAAACTTTTAAACGAAATGTTCCTAATCCTAAACCGAGCTCCTAGTATCCTAATTTTCTAATATCCTAATATGATAATATCCTAATCCTAGTCCTAATATCCTGATGCAGGTGTACGGATGTGTGTTTGTTATTCTATCACGCAAAACCGGCTTTCATGAAGATTACACTTTCTCTTTACATCATGCAAATTAAAAAATACTAGTAATACGAGACCAGGCTTTTTTTGGGAGAGGAAAATCATCTAATGATTTCCCCCACCCCGGGTGGGGCAGGAAGGCGTGTCTTACTGACTAAAAACCCCCCGTTCCTTCGCTTGCTCTAGGCCGAGGCCCCGGCGACTTATTGCGCTTGCCTCACAACCCCGGCTGAATATCAGCCCAGTCTGTAGTGGTCTATATCAAAATCAAAAAGTATTTATTCGCGTCTGGGACGCATAAAAGACGCAAAACGAAAAAGATAATAAAAATACATAAAGCATGGTAAAACAATATAACAAAAGTAGATGGTAGGAGAAAAATATGCGTCCAAGCACGCGAAATGGCCCTCGCTCAGCATTATGCAGCGAGCCCATACGAGACAGTGTCGCGGCGCTGATTTTCAGCGATGGCCGACACTAACGCATGACGCCAAGTCGTTTATCACTGAGTGCGCGACCCAAACACGGGCAGGCGCGTGTATCATTACAAACTAAATGTATTTTTTTATAATAACTATCGTGAGACATACTAAATTAACTAAAATTCGCGGGTTACTCACGTGTAAATGTTGAGAAAAGCTCTACTAGTTTCGAACCACAGAGGGGTTCTTCCTCATGAGCAGCGTGCGCGACGTCGCCGCGTCCGCGCACGCCACGAATTTTAGTTAATAAACTAAATGTAAATCCTTTATCTGTTCTCTCTTTAGTTATTCTCTTTCATCTCCACAGACACATGCAACCTCCCGAGCGTAAAGGGCCCTTGTGACGGTAGCTATGAGCACTGGCACTACAATAGCACGCGCGAGCAATGTGTTCCATTCCTGTATGGAGGTTGTCTCGGCAACGCCAACAACTTCGAGTCCAGGGAGCTCTGCCAGAAACAGTGTGAGCCTAAGACGGTTGAAGGTAAGTCACGACCTACCAAATATTCAAAAGTTTGTCATAAATGTCTCGACGATATCTCAGGGCAATGCGACCTGCCAATCGAGCAAGCCTCGTGTGGAGAATCTAGAGGACATCAGGGCTTGTAATGTCTAATTTGAAGTTCCAAGTCACCAATTCGCCGTGAGCAAGCTTGGAGGCTAATGCTCAAACCTTCCTCACGTGAGAAGAGGTCTTTGCTCATCTGTGGGCACTTATAAAACTATTTTTCACATCACATAATTAGCCTATGTTTTTATTCCCAGTTTCTGCTGTAAATGCATGAAGGCAGGAGAGCGTGACCCTCAAGAAGTACCTAATGCATGGAGTTTAAAGCCCTTGAGGAAAAGGTCGACAGCTTCACAATACTTAGTATAAATGAAGCGAGACTCAACCAATTATTTTAAGGATAAAGATAACAGCACGGACGTCCCACGGCACAAACGCAACGCCGACGCCGTACGTTGGTCATGAATAAGAGCTCTGTATGTGGCTCGAAACTAGTAGAGCCGTGTGATGTCTTACGATAATTATTTACATGCATTGAACAAAAACAAACACATGAATTGTTTGTTGTATTTATTGAATAATCATAAGTTAATCATATTTTATGCTCTTAACACAGCCGAGTACATAATCACGTGTATTCAATTTAGGTATACGCAAACGATGGAATATTAATATGTTAAAGGCTACAGTTCTACTATTTTATTTCATAGTATAAGAGTTCAAAATATCGAACCAAAAAGGATATCATACAACCTCATAAAATTTAAAGAGACATTTAAATTTTAGGGGCTGTTGGTGATAACGGGCATTAGGGCAGATTTTTCAGTAGTTAGATAAATGTTATCTGAGAGATAAAATTGTTGCTGTCACTGTCTTAAACAAACATTCTGACGCGACCACATCATAATTATTACCCAGGTAACTTTTATCTGAACATTGAAAAATCAGCCGTTAATAAACTAATCATTCTATGTAATTATATTAGACATTTCGTATAAAAAGTCGTCAAAATACTTATTATGCGGCCGACATATTAATTCCATGATAATGTAAAAACTACTCGTATATCGATATTACAACTTTTCTTACTTAGGTATTAGTCTAGTCTTAATACATAGTATAGGCGCGAGTTTCTTAATTTTCTGATGACAGCGCATGAAAATTTGAATATGGAACTTAATTTCTATGAATTATGTGCCACATCAATTTACTTGTATGATGTTGGTGGAACAGGCTATAAGGCTGGGTTTAGATATGTTGTTCATCCATACCGTGAAGGCAATACGGTAGTTTCCGACTAGTCAAATTCAATACTTTTATCCAAATGTCAAAAACGTGTCGTTTTTTCTATGAAATTAGTATGAAATACTGAGGTATGACGTCATAGTATTTTTACGTCAAATAGCTTATAATAAAATTACAAAAAAATGTCGTTGTGTATCGATCGATCGTTGAATGAAAGTATAGGTATTTTTCAATGTTTTACTGTATTGAAACCTCAAATTAATTTATTTTTGACCTAGGAAACTAACCAGTAGGTTCCTCGGTCAAAAAATATTACTTCAACTTTTAAAAGCATAAAAATATCCAAATATTTAACACGTTAATTTATAAATTTTACGATATACTTTAAACTATAATATTTTAAGATCTTTCTAGAAAAATAAGTATGCTATTTGACCCAAAAAATATGACGTCACAGAAGTTTATGACACTTCGGCAAAGTATTACCAAAGTTGGAAATTGTCGTATTCAGGGAATCTATTCTCCTTTATCTTGAATGTAAACATAAACAATCTTCACACTACATTATAGATAGGAAAAATGAATATGGAAATATAACAACTCTATCCGAAAAATTGTTTTAAACCAAACATATTTAAAAAGTCATCATTTTCATCACAATATTGTGACAGAAAACTCTTTGACATCATGACGTCAATGGATGGTTGTCAAACGTTGCCTAGAGATTGTAAATTTCGTCGTGAATTGTCAACACGAGTTGGTGTAATCGGTAAGGCGTGTGGATTACACCACAGAGACCCCGAGTTCGAGACCCGCCGTAAACATGAAGTTTTTTAGTTGATGGAAGTTTTGTCGAACTTTTTGGAATAATTGAGTGAAAGTAATGAAAAATTAAGGAGCGAGAAGGAGAATAAATAAAAATGAATAACGAAATTATTGGAAGGTTCTGGAGGCATGACGATCAAAAAGAATAACGAAATTGAATGTTCTAGAACCTGACCAGGGGTATATAAGCGGAACTGCGGCTCACCGCTGGCAGTTGAGTTCTAAGTCCAAAGCGATTCGGAAGAAAAGGAAGAAGTGAAAAGAAGAAAAGTGAGTGAAATAGTGAAGTACAGTGAAATAGTGAAGTGCAGTCAGTTAAGTGAGTTGAGTCAGCGTGAACAGTGAACGGCAAAGTTGTGTCAGTCGGCCGGACTCTGCTGGAGAGGAACGCCGATAACTTATCCGTATCCGTGGACGCTGTCACTTAAGTGCAATAGAAAGTCTGAAAACCGGTATTAGTGTTTAATTTCATCCAATCCCGTAACCCAAGCCCGCATAGTTAGGAACGTGACGTCAGGCACGTAACATTTGGTGTCAGAAGTGGGATTGGAGAAAAATGCCGCTAGTGCCGCAGGACGTAAGAGGAGTGAGTACCCGTGCTATGTCAGAAGCGCAGCGTGTGAGAGAAGAGGGTGCTGCAGCTCAAACCAGCGATGCAGAAGCCAAGCCTGTGCAGGTGGATCTTCTGCTACAGCTGCAGCAAATGATGGCAGAACAGCTGCGGGAGCTGAAAGAAGATCAAGCGCGCCGCCAAGAAGAGCAAGCACGCTGTCAGGCAGAACAGCTGCGGGAGCTGAAAGAAGATCAAGCGCGCCGCCAAGAAGAGCAAGCGCGCCGCCAAGAAGAGCAAGCGCGCCGCCAAGAAGAGCAAGCGCGCCGCCAAGAAGAGCAAGCACGCTGTCAGTCAGGACAGCTGCGGGAGCTGAAAGAAGATCAAGCTCGTCGCCAAGAGGAGCAAGTGCGTCGCTTGGAAGACATGCATAAAGATTTCACGAAGGGACTGCAAAAGGCTGTCAAACGGGTACAAGAAGTGGAGGAAGGTTTAGGCAAGTTGGAACATCGCGTCATGGCGATAGAGGAGAGATTGGAAGAAGAGATCTCCAAAATCAAGCAGGAAGTGACAAACCCAAGCCCTTTAAAGAGCCGAAGCCGTCTTGCAGCCGTTTTTGACGCCTCAAATGCGGCCTTAAGCGCAACGAAAGGGCTCAAGATTCCCCATTACGACGGAACAACATCCTGGACCGCGTTCAAGCTACAGTTTGAGACACTTATGGAGGCTTATGGTTGGACTCAGAAGGAAGCACAGTCAGCCCTCACCCTGGCCCTCCGTGATCAAGCGCTCTCAGTGCTGGAAGCTATCGGCGCAAGTGGAGATCTCAGCTTTAGTGCCCTCCTCGACGCACTTGAGGCACGTTTTGGAGACAGCCACCTCGAGCACGTGTACAGAGCGCAATTAAAAGAGCGTACTCAGCGTGATAATGAGAGTCTACAGCAATGGTCCGTGGAAATCGAGAAACTTGTGCGTCGAGCTTTCCGGTCGACTCCGTCAATGATTGAAGGCACGCTTCTCCAAGCGTTCATTGACGGTATTCGGGACCCCGAAGTACGAGCTGCTGTTCATCTGGGCCATAACAAGAACATGAAAGAAGCTCTGGCCCATGCATTGGAAGTGGAAGCCGTGCGTGGCAACTCCCGTACCTTACGTCTGCGGGAAATGACGACAACGGAGCAGGTACCTC